ACTATAAAATGCTAGCCCATAAATAATTATGGCTGCCTCGCATAACAAAAACTAGCTTGGAAAATATTTAACAAAATTGTATTGTAATTGAAATTGAAATGAAATTCAGTTTTGGGCCATCCCGAGAGACTGTCGTGCTTGCCGCTTGATTTGATGGCCAATCCAATCATCAAAAATATATGTCTATTCGGACTGGTCGCAGTTCCATTCAGTGTTCAGCCTCAGTTCTGGATGGAAGGTGCGTTTTGTTGGGTAACATTTCGCTTTGGTGCCTTTTGTGGCCTCTGTGACACATTTACTCGTCTCAAATTGAGGCTTGATTGATGGTTTCGGTGGAGGCAAACGATCGCCAGTCGCTAGATAAAGGCTTATCGCACGCAAAAAATAATCATTTCAGTTTACGAGTACTGTGGCCAGTGTGTGAATACTTTTGTGCTTTTTCGCATGGAATGTGCCAAAAGAAAAAACTACCGAAAAACAACAGATAAAAAAACCATACAAAAATGCGGGAAAACTCGGTAAAAAAATGCAGCGTTTGTTTTAATGAAGCGTGAACACTAGACCACATAATGTGCGGCATACATTTAGCGGCGACACACAGCAGACACACACGCATATGGCCACAAATTTAGGTACACCCCTCAGGTTAAAAAAACAACAAAAAACGACAAAATCGCGGCGTATTTTCTTTAGGTTTGTTTTTTTTTTGTGCTTCTTTTTTGTTGTTGTTTGACGCATTTTAAAAATATCCTAGACGCAATTGCTGTTGTAGTTTTTGTTGCTCTTTCGTCTGTTTGTCACATTACTAATACGACGCGTTGTCTTTGAATTTTTGGTTGCCTCTTTTTTTGGCTTTTAGTTTTGTTTTTTTTTTGCCTTTTTTTTGTTTTAATTTTCGCACGTAAAGTGCGTGACTTTTAATTAGAGTGCAATAAATGTGCGAAAATGTGTGGGAGATGAGTCTGCTAATGGCAGATACATATGTACATTAGAGATACATTCGAGTGAACCATGGAGATACATGTGTGCTGGGAAATTGTATCTTAGATACTCTGGTTGATGGTTTTATCGCGTGGTTTTTGATGTTTTGAAAGTAATAAATGTCTAGAAATAGAGGGAGTTACTAAAAATACTTTTTTAAATACAAATTTGGATGTTTTGTTATGAACTTAAGATACTTTTTGAGCTACTTTTGTACAGATTTTAAAGATATTTTCCCCAAAACTTAGGTGTTTTTCTTCGTGGATTTTTAAATATTTTTTAAGTACAAACTATAGATATTTTTCGAAAGCATTTAGTGGGGCTATTTTTTATATGTGTTGATTCATCATTCGAGAAATCATTGAATCGATCTTGTATCTAACAATAGCCAAAGATACTCGTACTTTGCCAGCGCGGAGATTCATCTTCTCTTCTTGATTGCTGCGTGCAAATCGCTTGTATCTTCGAGATACTTTTTCTGCTGTTTTTGTTGTTTTGTTTTTTTTTGTCAATATCTCTCAAGCGACCGATATTTGCTTTGTTGTTTAGCATCCATCGCATGTGATTGAATGTCTTTCTCATTGTGTATCGGTGTATCTGTGCATCTGAGTGTGTGTGTACCACTGGCTGTCTCGTGCTCTAAATATTTAAAATAGCTGCATCTTGAGAGGAGATTTCTTTAGCTACCATGGCTGCAACCCAATTGCTTCCGGTTCAAATCGATTACACAAAAGCGCCTGCCTTTTGTTCCTGGCCCTCGCGGCATCAGTGCTTTCCCCACGAGAGAAGTATCTAGCTCCTGCTCAAGTATCTTATGCTTTGGTTTTTCATACAAATGAAGTGCACCATCGATTAGTGCATTCGGTTCGGGGCTGCCGTTTGTTTGAGTTATGTTTCGGTATCTTTTTCATTTCCACATTTTCCAAAAACACACACAGAGCTCTCTCTGTTTTTCTTAAGAAAATTAATTGTTTTGTAAACACGTGAGTCGTCGTGAAGTGGGGAATAGAAACGGGGGGAGAATGCATTTCACAGACATAGATATACATTCATCTATAAGGCCATAAGCCAGTTGTCAGTGCAATGCCACCGCACATCAATCGTTGGCCAAGTATTCCATATTTTTCATATACGAATAGAGTATATATTCCCCGCCAGAAAACAAGTATATTTATTCTCGTTCAATCTTGTGACAAGTGTTTGGCATTGAAATGTTTGTCGTATTACCCCATCTGTTTATAGTTACAACACAACTTTGTTACGGTTTACACACCCCCTCCCCCCACCCCCGTCGAAGAGTTGAACCACAGAAGAGCCCTCTCCTCCAGGGGGGGGGTCTTTTGGTTGAACTTTTGGCAAACAAATCAGAATAAATCATCGCCACTAAAACGCCTTAAATTTAAATAAAATATAATAAAATAAAAAATTCAAAACCTTCACTTTCGAACCAAAAACGGGTTTACATTTAATTTTCGATTGTTAGAAAAAAATACTATATAGATACAGTATTTATACTAATGTTTATATTTATTTTATTAGTCCATCAACATCTGTATTTGTTATAGCAAAAAAAAAAAAAAACAAATAAAAGCTTAAATAAAATCACATAAAAATTAACATTTTTCAGGCCATGTAATAAATGTCCGGAGAGCGTGTTTCCCGCTTTTGTTTTATGTTTTTGTTTTGTTTTTTGTTGTAACGTAACCAAGCGGTTGACGTGAACTAATTAAGTTGCGCAGCCCCCAGGCTTAGATTTATCGCCGCCATCCCATAGATACTTTCCCAAAAGAGATACCCAGACCTATCCTACCCTGCCGCATCTGTCTGCGACTGTCAGACGCATAAATTTGGCACTGAAAATAAAAACAACAAAAAATAAAAACTAAAACGAAATTTGCTAATCAGTTTGTCGGGCAGCAGTTCAATGACTAGACCCATCCCTCCCCCCTTTGAGCTGGTGTTTGTCGCTGCTGCAGATAGAGATACTTGTACTACGGCTAATTTGAATTTATGTTTATGTTGGCGGCTCTGATTTTTTTAGGTGACTTGTTGTCAAGCCACGAAGATGATTTTCGTTTCATTTATCAAATGGAATGCCGTTCAGTGGAAACAGTGGGATGGATACAGCTGAAAAGTGATCGAATTTCTAGGGAAAAATATTTACCAATATTTATTTTATTATATCAAAGTGGAAAGCAAGCAAAGGTATTTTTGGTTAAGAAAATAAGTCAAAATTGTACTGGAAAATTATAGAAAAATTGTAAGCCCCTCTACAGCAGCTCTCGGTTGGAATCCTCATTCTTCTACCACTGTGGCACACATTTTTTATTATAAAATTAATTCATTCGCTGACCAAAGATGCCGCCACACTTCTCGGGTTCATTCATTATAAAGCTTTTTCCTTCGAGGCTTTGAATGTCGCAGTTTTCTGTGTGATTTGGACATTAATTTGATTAGGGGCCTGCCTGCCTGTGTGTTTGCCACTTAAAAATAGGTTAAGTGAATATCCAGTTTTATAACGGATGCGCAACCGAATCACTACTTAAATGATCTTGCCCCTGGAAGTGTTAAACGTTGAATCTTGGAGCACACATCTATTATATGGAGCCCCCCAGGAGCGGCCAGAGACTTTCGCTTTCTCGGACATCGGCCAGCAATCACTGTAATTATGGAACTCCTCAGACCTTTTTCATTAATTTTTACGATGATGTTGATCATAATTTGTTGTATTGCGGCGGGCGACAGACAGATGGAACCGATCCATCCTATGTGGGGGCAGATGGGGCTGTCGTAAAAGCCAAAAAGATACAAAAAAATTGTTTTTGTATGCCGCCACCCAAAGGTGTGATTTTTATAGTACGTCTATCTAGGGATTTGGCTTATTTCCATCTTTGGGTTTTATTTTTATATCTTTTTTGTCTTTTTTTTGGGAGTCTTTTAATGTCTGCTGTCGCTTCTGTTGGATGTGGTGGCTGTGGCCTGGCCCTTCCCCTTCCTCTTACCAGAATTTAACATAAATTCTGCTGCTGGCATAAACAATGTCTTGAGAACCGGCCAAAATGTGTGCCAAGCCCCGTACATACATATGTACCCCTGTTACTGGGTGAAAGGAAAGGAAGGAAAGCCTTTCTTCTGCAAATTGTTGTAATAAATATTTATTTAAATTTTTGTGATTTATTCTGGAGATTTATGCCCTGTTTTTACGACTGTAAATGCTGTCAACAGTTTTGTGCGTTTTGTGTGCGTTTTAAAACGCGTGCTGGGTATCTGTAACGCAAAGGGCCCTTGCATATTTCGTCGGACAGTAAGGACATGCAAGCAATTAACATTTTCTATTATGAGTGGTGTCTGATTTGTTGTTCCTGTTGCATGTTGCACTTAAATGTTGCATAGGAAAACGAAGCGGCGCGTAGGTTTGCTGAACACGTGCCAAAAAGGCGGGCAGCCGAGCCGCCGGGAGTCTAAGTGCAGTGGCAAACGTCACTCAGTCGCGCAATCGTATCTCTCAGATACATAGATACACACGCTTCTGCCGTGCTGCAGTTAGTGCGTGATTATTTTCAAATTCGACACAGTTTTTGCCGCTGCGAATTTGTATTTATTTTTAAACAATTTGCCTGCCGACGACAATCGTGTGAGATTTCCCTCTCGTTTTTGCTGTTTTTGGGTGAAAGTGTTTTTTCCTTTGCGTAACTGCGGCTCCGCTCCCTTTGGGCAGCTGTATCTTTATGTAACTTCTTGATGAGATGAGATACAATTGTATCTGACCAAAAATAAACTGTGCCAGTTCTATGAGGGGACTCTCGCCAATCTGTTGGGGTCTCTATATATATACAGATCGGACGGACACACTAATTAAAATGTCAAAAATGGCATTAGAAACGCTTAAGTGTAGAATTTACGATCATATACCTTAATCCACTCGATGGAGAGCCAAAGGAATGGCCATTAATTATTGCCTGGGACACTGAATGCCAGTAATCGAATATGTATATCTTTTTTGGTCTCTTTGCAGGGCAGGAAGCGATGTCAATTGCTTCTGGCATGACACGAAAGTCATTGAAGATGATAAGATGCATTATCAGCGGGGAAGACGAAGATGAAGATCCGCAATTGAAAAGTGTTCAACGCGTCTACGATATGATAACCTAATTTCCAATGAAAATCGTTTAAACACAGAGAGAGACTCCACGAAAAAAACACCCAAAAAAAGAAGAGAAAAAAAAAACGAAACCAAAACGAAAGTAAAAAGATTTCTTTAAACGAAGGGGCGTTCGGTTCATATGTTTCAACAATATTCAAGGGCGTGGCGCCCAAGCAAACTATAAACATACCCACAGAGAGAGCAAGAGAGAGAGAGATCGACAAACGAGAGGTGAAACAACGATATTTCATATACACATTGGTGTGGTGTGGAGCGGAGCGGAGCAGCAGCTGGAAAAGACTCTTGTGAAATTCCCCTAAGTTGTGATCTTTGATGCGAATAAACCTGCGCTTGGACTGGAGGGCCCTGGCGCTGCTGGGCGCCCTCCTTTCGTGTATCATTGCCTGGCAGGGCTGCTTGGTATTTGCGATGCCGATGGCTCTAACAACGATATCGAACCAACAAACAATCAACACTAACAATAACAGCCATTCAAATAGTACTCGGTTTAGTAATAGTAATTATCTACAAAGTGATCATAGTCGTAATCAATTAGTGAGTGTAATAAATCAATCAACAAATCAAAGTATTAATGCTGAATTTAATCAGAGTTTAACAACCATGCAACAACCAACTGCCATACAAACAACAACAACAACAACAACAACAACAGAAGAAGAAACAACAACAACAACAGTAGAAACCACATCACAATCCTATGATCAGGAACAGGATGATGATCAGGTGGAGGAGCCTTTGGGATTTGTCATCTCTGCGGGGGCTCCCAGCGAACATCTGGCGGTGCTATCGCGCACCGAAAGGAGCATCAGACATCAGCAGAAAAAGCATCATCATCATCATCCGCATCAACAGCAGTCCCCATCAACGGCTGATAATAATAATAATAACAATTTCATTGGTTCGAAATCGAAAAGACTGAATAACTCTAGAAGTAATCTAAACATAAATAGCAGTAGCAGTAACAGTAACAATAACAATAGTCCCATCAACAATCTGGATCGTAACGAACGCTCCACAGTGCCCCAATCGCATCTGGCCTGGACCTCCCGAAAGATCCAGTTGTACATCAAGAATCGCATCTTGCAACTCCTACGCGACGGCACTGTCAACGGCACCCAAGACGAGCAGAGTGAATACAGTGAGTACTGCCATATCTTCTACTTCTACCATCCTCAAAGTGTTAGATCATTCACTTGGTTATCTTTTTGAATATGTTTTATATTTGGTTTTGCTTCTTTTTGGTCTAAATAAACAACCAAATAAACTAATGCCTTATGGTTCATATGAAATATTTCGAATATCAAAAAATAATACACGCCCACACAAGCCCACAAGCAGATACATACCTATATATATCTGTGTATCTGTGTGTGTTTCTATAGGTTGAAAGTTCTCATAAAACGCTTCGGTGGAGGACCGGAGAGGCCTGCGTAACACGCACCCAAAATCCGCCAAAAAAAATCATAAGATGAACGAATGCCAGAGCTGAAGATTAAGACCAGAAGATGCCCTATAATAGTTTGGGATAGTGGGATTTTTTAATATATAAATTAGAGGTATAATACCTGACTACCTGGAGGATTGCTATGATTATTGAAAGATAGATAGATATACATATACTATTGAAACCATTCTATCAAAGAGTATATATATATTATTAAAACGAATTCGGGGCTAAAATGGGAGTAAAACGATATCGAGTAGAGGATATTTCTTGATACAATCTAAGACTGTAAAACTGATGCGATCGTAATGATTTTTGGCCATTAGGTAGCTAATACCCATGCCTACCATTCTACCAACGAAGAGCTATATATCTTTTAAATTCAAACGAGTTACATGTAGCTAAAGTTAGTGCTTTTATCTCGACAGAAGTCTTCATACAAAGAAGGGTTCTTCCAGCTCTGATAGCACTCTCAGAAAGCCTTCCTCAAACTCTACTCCCTTCTGTTACATACAGCCCTGTAGCCCAAAATACCCTCTAAAACCACAAATTACCTGCCTACAAAATGCTACATTTCCTACATAGTTTTTTGGTGCCTCTGTTTATGTTGAGGATCATTAAGTTAGACACTTGATTTGGCAATACTCTTTGTGTGCCTTGGACTACAGAGAGCACCCCCAAAAGAATGGAGGAGCGCTTTGTATTATTTGGCATATAAATTCTTTAGTGGAGGCTAAAGGGCATAAATCTTTTGCTTTAATGAACCGCTCGGCCTGATTACCTCTCTCTGGGGAAATATGCGTATGACTCAGACCCCAAAGAGGTGTAGTATAGTGTTCTTTCCCGCCCTCTTGATGGTGATTGTGATCATGATTTGCATAACTTTTTGTAACCGAATTAATTTACCGCTTCATTTTCATTCACTCTTTTTTTTTGGGGGCCAATTTGCAATCGCTGATAAGTAGCCCCCCAAAAAAAACAACCAAAAAACAAAAAACTTGTTGTACAACATTGAGACATCAGGAGGCGGACACCAGAGAGATGCCGACTAGATTGTGGCCGGATTTCGTTTTACTTGTCCCCAGAGTATCTTTCGCTTGTGGTGTATCTTTCAGGTGTTAATTTGATTTTGGACTCGATGAGACTGAAGTGCGATAAGATTGAAATTACTCTATAGAAGAGCTTTTTTATAAGACTTAATTTGAGTGAGCAAGATTTTTATAGTGCACTCTCACTCTTCTATTTTCTTTTTGGGACAGCAAAGCCACCAAATCCGGAGGCAATTTGTGTTTATTAGTGGGTGAGTGAGGGCTTTATGACCTGTAAATTGTACAAAGTGCAACCAAAATCACGCTGGTGCCTACCAAGCTTCTGGGGGAGTGGCCTTGATAGGAGAAAGATTGCTTGTGATATGACATGCAAGAATCATGATACAATGATGATAAAACCTCAAGTGTGAGGAAAGAGTTTGGCGGGGAATTTCTTGGTAAAGAGTGGGGTTTATTTGGGTAAAGCGTTGGCATGAATTCGGAGTAAATCTTGGAGTAAATAGCTTAATGGAAAGGCAGCTAAATTAGTTAACGGATAGGGACACCTGACTGTCAAAATAAAGCTGTTCAAAATTTATAAAAATTACCGAGTTAAATGCATTTTCCATGCCGTCAATTTCAACTTTCAGCTTCCTCTTTTGCTCTAACTTTAAGCTTGTCTTTCAGCTCTTTAGCTCCCATTTATGCCTCATATTTAGCTCCAGTTGGAGGCTCATCTTTTGCTCCACTTTGAAGCCCATCTTTTCCACCAACTTTTAGCTCATCTCTCAGCTCGTTAGCTCCCATTTATACCTCATATTTAGCTCCATCCTTATCTCCAGTTTGAGGCTCATCTTTTGCTCTACTTTGAGGCTCATCTTTCAGCTTTTTACCTCCCATTGATACCTCATCTTTAGCTCCATCTTTAGCTCTACCTTGAGGCCCATCTTGAGTCATATGCAAGCCTCTTGTTTAACTCTACTTTGAGCCACATCCTCAAGCCCCCATGTGGCAGCCACATCTTCATAGCCCGATCTTCAGGCAGCCTCATCAACCAGTTGACCTCCAAAAGTCAGAGGGGTCTCGGACAGAGACAGAGGCTCAACGCCAGTTGCTGTTGCAGTTGCCACGAAAAATTGCTGAAGCGGCTAACGGTGCTGGAGTGGCAGCTCGAACCCGATCCCTTGGCTTGTTGCATGGGCCATGGGGCATGGGGCGTGCATATTTTCATGATGATATATGGAGAGTACTCTCCCCCCAGACGGGGCACCAATTATGCGACTGATTTAGTGCGTGGTGCGATGCGATGCCACAGCGAGGTGTGAAGTTGAGTGAAGTCCAAAAGTGAGGCTTGCAAGATGCTAAAAGCTTCCGACACTCTTTTTTGATAACTTAATTTACGGCACGTCTTTCATAGCTGCATGCTGCACGCTGATGAAGTGGCTCGGAGAGAGAGACCCAAGCCCCGCATCGAACCCCAAGACATGTTTGGGTTTTACTTTCACTGTCACTCTCCGACGGCGAGGGTTAGGCGTGTTAATTGCCTTTTTAAATACTAGATCTTTCACATTATTATTTATAATCAATGGCGAGTCTTTGACTAAATTCCCTGTCCAAATATTTAAAGTCTCTGCTGCCCCACAAAAGCTGTCTTTGTTTGGGGAAAGGAAAGCGAAGGCGCTCCAATTATATTTTGGAATCAAAAGAACTGTTCTTCTCACTTCAAAGGGGCTTTTTTTCAGCCCCAAAATGCTTGTAAATTGATTCCGAAAATTGCATCAATGATAATCCCTGGAGATCATGATTAATAAACGAATAATTTCAACATGTTTAATTCCTCAGAGCACACTCTATTATATCACTATTCTCACATAATACAATAAATTAATTTTACACAAACATTTCCACGCTCTGGCTACGTCACAGATACAGATACAGATAGCTCTCGTGGTGCTAGGATTGTGTTGGGTTGTGGTGGCCAGACGGCGGCGGCCAACAAATTTATTGTACAAATTTTTCAGGCAGCAGAGGAAATGGAGGAGCCAAGTCAAAGGGGGATCTGGCGATACTCTATAAAACATTGGATTGGGAAAGAGGAAGAAGGTAGTAAGCTGCTTGAAAGTAGTCCATTCGGCAGACCGAAGAGCGCTGCTGCATGACGCGTAATACTTTTATCATTTATTGATCATCTACTATTATTTATGACTTGATTCTGACGTATTTTGTGCTCTGACAAGCTGTGGTATGCTTTCTATCTTTTATCTGTCGTGTCTTTTATATCTCATGCAAAAGCTATCTTATCCAAGCATTCTATTATCTGTATCTCGCTCAATTTCCATCGAAATCCCCATAGACTCTTTACCAAACTATTTTGGAGCACATGTACAACATGGGGCATTCAGGGGACACTTCCGTGTCCGTGTGTGGGTGGCGACAGACACTAAGAAGACAACACTTGACGGGCTATTGTCAGCGAGGTGGGGCTCATCATCAGTCAGGCAAATGGCAGAGCTGGTGGTGCGGCTGGTGTTGGGTGATTTATGCGCCAGGCAACATGGAGACGCAGACCCGCGAAAGTGTTTTGTTTCAGATAAGATTAGAGTCCGCATACGAATAGTTCTCTAGAGAGAGAGAAAGAGTGGAAGAACGCAATATGTCAAATGGATTTGCCGCAGAGTGGATTCTTTTTTTTTTTTTTTTTTTTTGCGTGGGTTAGACGGTGGCTCTTTTCCGGCAGCAAAGAGACTTCTGTTCGGATTCTTTATTTTTAGACAGGTGGCAATGAACTGTATTTAAATGTGCTATGTGCTGGGTGCTCTCTCTCTCTAGGCCAGGCCACAAATGCCCCAACCAGCATTGACAGTTAAATGTTAAATTATGCGTAAGAAAAGAAAACGTTTTGGTAAACGGCCCCCGAAGTTGTTTATGATCGGGGCCCTCCTATATAAATTATAATGATTAATGACATTTTGCACGCAGATCTCTGCCACAATCTGCCGTGGCTGCCGTTGCCGTTGCCGTGGCTGCTGCTGTGGTTATTGGCGTTGTTTTACAATCATTTTTACAAGCAATTCATTTTCACCCAAAACAAAAAAACAGACGGCGATCGGCTGCCCAGTGGCACAGAAATCCAGACACTGGAATGAGACATATATCTCTGAAGGCTGTGGCTTTATACGGGGCGTATGTGGAATACGAGAGTGGAGTTTTGATGGCAGACTAAGGGAACATGGATCTGTAGCCCTTAATCGGATGTATTCCATAGATTTTTACAGATTTTTTTACAAGTGTTGGGCTTCTTTCCACAAGGGAAGCTGTTTATTCGTTCTTTAAAGAGTCTTTGAATCACAGAAAAGTTTAGTAAAAATCCCAAACTATGTTCTAAAATTTGTATGCACTTTTAGGCCTTCAAAAAGTATCTCTTAAAGGGATTAGCTCCGTACTATTTCTCAATATACTCTTTTGGTTCTGGCCTTACTTCAAAAAAGATTATTTATATGCCTTCCCTCAAAAACATTCAATCCCAAACTATATTTCATTTTATTTTAGGCACTTCTAGGCCTACAAAAAGTATCTCTTAATGGGAGTTATTTCAACAGCTTTCCCAAGATTCTTTCTGGCTAAAAACTTCCATTATCTCTTCCGCACTTCACACTAAACACACCC